TCTGACTGAAATTAATGTAGATTATTTTGGCAACAAAATTATTTATTTGATTTTTATTCTACATGCACTTCAATGATTCAGAAACTATTTTTTCCATTTTCGACTTGCATTTTTATTTTATTGATTTATTCCTTCATATAAACACACATTAACACCGAATATCAATCATTAATAATTCGATCATACACTACAGATATATATATATACAATTCGTTCAGTCATTTATTTAGACATTGTGAACTTTTCACATGATTCTCATTTAATTGATTCGTGTTATTCTATTTACTAAGGTAAACATGTAATTATGATTGGATGGTGGATGTGTCATTCAATTTCGTGGATTGGTTGAAGTTAGATATTAACACCGTTGGATGCTGGCACAGTGGTCTAGGGGTTAAGCGCTCGCGCGCGAGACTGACAGGTCCTGAGTTCGAATCGCATGTGGCGAGGTTGAGGAGTCCCACAATGGGATGAAACGGCCCTCCAGTGCCTCTAGGTTTTCCATGGTGGTCTAGCTTCAGTTGACTCATTATCTCAACCATTGAAATTACAATAATATTCACAAAGACCCCTCAAATATGATTTGATTAGCACAGGATTGTCAAACGGTGTTTATTTCTTTAATGATTTCGATTATTACCGTGAAGAACTGCAGACAAGGTTGTTGGGTACTAAATTTGGATAAGTGTTAAAAGATTAAAAAATTGTATTTATTAAAAATCGTTTAAGTGGAGACAACAAAAGGGGTATCGATTTATTGCGTTGGAGGGTGACCAGTGCAAGAAAATTGATTGTGGAGATTGTTGAATTTTTATTGAAATCATAAGTTAGTATGAATGAAATAACTAATAAAAAGTAGCAAATACTGGATAGTTATTTGTTCTAAATATCGAACTACTTGGTTGTGAATATCCACGCTTCTACCTCCTATGACCGAACTTAAAACGTTCAGCTTCGTTTGCGAACGCTTAACCTATGATCGCAATCTTAGTCAAAATTTATTAGTCATTTCATCCCTTGTACTGACACATCATTTTCTCACTAGTGGCTAACTGTGATAAAATATTTCCGAAATTCTAATAAGAAGCTACGGGGTTTACTGGTATCGAGTGTGAGGAAGGTATATATTAAAGAAAATAAATGGTTGTAAGATGTAGTGGACTGATTAAAACCCGAATTTTACAGCAATACCTTCCATTTTTATAGTCTAGACGTTAAGCACTCTCATGAGACACCGAAGGTCCTAAATTCGACCACCTGTATCAAGACATTAGGTTCACACGACTGGAAAGTCACATACTCGGTGGAAACAACTGTCCATTGCTTCTAAATTTTCAGTGATTATCTAATTTAGATCTGTTTTACAATCTCAAGAATATATAAATGTATTTAATTAGCTTAAATTCAAAACTGAAGGAATTGCTAAGTATCAGTCAATGACAAAATAGATACTATAACATAAAGCCAATATGCTTTGTCATTGATATATATATATATATATACATAAAGAGATGTTAATTTTTGCAATCACAACGATAGTGTTATTTGGAGTAGAGTAGAATTATCAAAACTCTTTACAATTTCTTGACGTTTACAACCGCTTACACAACTCAACTCAAGTTAAGAATCCAGTTTTTTGAGAACTCGGAATAAATGTTCTATTTCAGTATAACCTATAAATCTCTATACTTATTTCCATTATAGTTATAATTTAAATTCTTTCTATATATTTCATCTAGTTCATGTTAATTCATAGAGTCAGAAGAGGTCTTGTGGAGACTTTAGAAATTTCAATAGTTGAAATTATGAGTCAGTTGAAGCTAGACCACCATGGAAAACCTGGAAGCACTGGACGGTCCTGTCGTCGTGGGGGCGGGATCGTGGATGCGCACTGCTGAGGAGTCCAACAATAGGACGGAACGGCCTTCCAGTGCCTCCAGGTTTCCCATGGTGGGCTAGTTTCAATTGACTCATCACTTCAACTAGTGAAATTCATAGTGTCAACATTTGAAATATAACATAATTCATATTCTAACCTGTGAATAACTTTCAAATGAATTCCAATTAATTCAGTTGTAAATTTAGCTATATACTCTTGATAGGGATATAAATCACGTTAGTTACTTATTCCAAAATAACATGTTTAGTTTTCTTTTGAACTATAAATATACAATTGAATATAGTTGAGATATCAAATCCAATAATCTTGCTTGTAACAATATGATTACTACACTGAATAAATTACTGGGGCAAGTTAATGTTACGTCCTTGATCTGTCTACCCACTTTTAGTGTTGAGGATACTTATCTAATCCAGATTAAGACCTTGGCGCGATAGACTGATCGACCCAACCTTGAAGCTAGTACGCGTAGTTCGAAGTGGGGTAGAGAGAAGAAAGCTGTTCTATCACCTGATTGGTTGACGCGAATGATAGAAGACAGAAAACTGGAACACTACTCTATCTATTCCCGATATCCTGATTTCAGATTAGTGTAAAAAGGTACATGAATAAATAGATGACTAACCCGACCATGACGTACAATAATTAGGAAAATACAATCATGTCCAAAACTGGGGATTAATGTAAAAAATAAGGTACAAAACATTATGTTTAAATGACAATAGCTTTAGAACAAAATGGGCTATGGCAGTGAATCATACATCAAACGAAAGCTTATGTTCTGTAGAATAGACTAGAGAAAAAAAATAAATGTTAGTGTTTTACAAGCTTTGCATAAAATGAAATAACGTTCCGAAAAGAATAGCTTTCGTAGTTTGTCAAGCCTTCTTGCTTCTCTGTTCACATCAGTTAAGTATCAGGATACATTGTTTTTGAATACATAAAAGGGGGTATAAATTTCCATATATCCAAGCTTTCATTAAACCTTACTTAATTAACATTATTTTTTCTTTTAATAGTGTTAAGAATGAAATACTTTTTTTAAATTTAATCTAAACATACATATAGTAATGAATAGATAGATAATTTAAATGATTTGATTGGCTGGAACGATATATATTTGGGTGTATCAATTTTATCTTTAAATTCCCATACATGTTGCTAAGGCATCATAGAAACAACAATTGAACTTGTGTTAAAACAACATTTGGACAATATATTTCCAATATATAAAATAATGATAGTGATATGACAATAGTAATTTAAGACATAAACCGTTGGGGATAGATTATCTTATTAACCATCGTAAGTATATAGTTCTATATTAAATATTAAAACCACTTTTTTCATATTATCCTTGAAACATAAGATATGTCTAATATTATTATTGAATTTTGTGAACAGTTCAGAGATTAGTAATGTGATATATATTTCATAATTCAATTATTTATATTTGAAAATGTAAATAATGATACTAAAAGGCACTGAATACATGTGCGCTACACAATTCATTTGATTTATGTATGGGTTATGATACTGCCAGGGTGCTCAGACCGAAACAGGTGTTTTCCTAAAGGTCTGATTGACAAACCAATGGACCAACTTTAGGAGATGCAGTCCCATATTCGTTGGTGTCCAATGATTGGATCATACGCCATTTGTTCCTTCAAGATACTGGAGCCTATGTTCATGATTGGTTTGGAATCAGGGTTTTCCAACTCCCTTAGGTGGACTCTTCGTGTCCACCAACCCGGTTAAGGCGCCGGACATTCGCTTCTCGTTCTTTGAATTTCGTAAATAAAAACCGTGGTGCGAGAAGGCAGTGAGTAGGACTTCTGTATTAATGGCTGTATACGCGTGGTAATGTGAGAGCATTTAGAGAGGGAGGGCTAACTCTTTCCACCTTCGGCCATACTAGAGCATTTGGTTGTTCATAATTCTTTTACATCTAGTTATTACAGAGTTGAATACTAGATCTCTCGCGATCACAACATTCTTAACATTAAACTCAACAACACCATCTACATATTGATTCTGTGTATTTCATATTACTGTCTTGATGAAGATATTCATGAAAAATTTCAGAGAGAAAATTATTGACTCTATTCTTTATAAATATAATGAACAAAATCTTATGGTTGTTCGATAAACATAATGATAGAAGTAGTTGATGTTGAACAAATCTATTCTTATTCTACTAGTAAGAACTGTTTTTACTGTTAATTATGTACTATGCATGAACTGATAAATAACACTAGTACACAATAGAACGAATATATATATAGATATATTTCTGAGTATACCCTATCAAAATGTACACAGTAATACATCATTACTCACTTTCTCTTATTCATATTAAAATATTTGTATCTGAAAAAATTCGATAATTCTAATAATCAGGCTGTAGGACAAAGTAATAGTTGCCAATCTCATGTATATAATTTTAAAAATGAGTAATATTTAATGCTCAATACTGAATGTAAGAGCACAAAAACAAACAAACGAACAAATAAATAAACAATTTATTCATGAAATAATACTGAAATGAAATGAATTCATTACTATTGTATTGTTGTTGTTGTTGTTGTTGTTGTGGTCTTTGGATCAATTATACGAATACATGGTATATACTTGGATTCACCAATGATCATTTGAATAAGTAATAAGGTATTAAAATTAATGAATGCAATGGCGTAATGTAATACTCTCTCACTCACTCTCTCTCTCCTTCTCTCTCTCCCTCTCTGTATATATATATATATATATATATATATATATATATATATATATATATATATATATATTCGACCGAAATGTACACCATTCATTTCAATTTCAACAGAATCATTCTATAGACCAAGGTATGGGTAATGTAAACTTAATATATTCAAAAAAAAACGATTGTTGTTACGTGAATATTTTCTCAACTAGATGACATGAATGCGTTATAATGTGGCTTATGATATTTCACTAATAAAAGGTTGTAATCAGTGATTGTTGTCAGTGCTTTAATGACTGTTTTACAATTTTCAGATAATATCGCACATTTCTGGTGGTCAGTCCTTATAACTGACGTCCAATCACTTCTGTAATAAACATCATGCGTAAAAGTTTTGATATAGTTGTACGAAATGATAAATATACATTGACAGTCAAATTGTTGTACAGTGTATCAATTATTCTATTGATCATATGGTTGATCAACATTTTACCAAGTCTTTTTCAATGGAGAATCAATCAAGTCGATCATGATGTAATACCTAAAACAATAGAATTTTCGTGCAATAATATATCTGTTCCAAACGGGTCAGAATCAGATCTTGCTAGTGTATTACACAAAATATATTCCCCTATCAGTAAAACATCCGTTCAAAAATACCCACTGAGATATAGTCTGGAAGAAAATAGACTTGAGAAATTATATGATTCATTGGGTGTGAATAAGACCGTAAGTCAACTATTAGAAATATTCTTTGATGTTGAATAGACTGACTGTCTTCTAATTAACTGATCCTTACTAATTATTCATTGATATTTCAAAATGACCGAGATTGTGTGTGCAAAATATTTGTGTACATTGTTCGATTTCACAGTAGTTTTCGTCACAGTGATCCACTCACCACCAGGTCTGTTGTTGAATCATCACAGAAACTTTGGTTGAGAGATGATGTTTGTAAGTGGAATGTGTATGGTGAGATATATGAGGAGTTGAAGACACGTTCTTCAGATGTTTCTGGATGACAAGTGTGAAATAACGTCCGTTTCAAACTCTCCATCAAATTGATGCTCACATCTCGTGTTCGTTTCATTCAAATGGCATCAATTGCATGAATGACCTCTATAATAAACCTCGCCATCACTACTAACCATCAGGATAAATATCATTGATAGAAAGGTTGTAAATTATCCCATTGTTTATAATCTTGTCTGGATTTTGAGGAATCTCCGAAGGAAAGAACCTCGAATCCTAGTTTCCATTGCTGCTCACAACTATATCCATTCCATAAAACATTTGGACATATACCGTTCACTTGAATATGAGATTGACGAAATCATATTTTGTGCGTTTGATTACTGAACTATGTATAAAATAGATGTTAGATATGATGCTCAATAAATTGTGAAAATCAACACATGAATTTGTATCAACTCATGTTTCAGGTGAAGACGTTTCTCAACTATGGGCATCGTACAATTTTTAGACCAATGAACTTTTCAAAATGTCATGCTTCGAAATGTGCAGTTATCACTGACATGAACAGATGGCGAGAAGCTGATGCACTTATACTGACAGAAGATAAAGTGCCGAATGGAATTCGACCTCCAGAGCAATTATGGTTTAGTTTAATAGAAGAGTCGCCTGTACATATTGCTATGGCAGGTACACTGGAAAATGAAGTGAGTAATTCTGACCATAGTAATATTACTAATCTTTATCATTTCATTACGGTTGTATGTAGCTGACGAGGACTACAAAGTGTGAATAGATTCGTGTTACTCAACGAATAATGTCACCATTCTTCATTTTGATCCACGAAATGGACTAATTGTGTGAAGTTTATGAATTCCCATGAAACACATACCTATGCGTCACACAACAGTAGAAGTTGTCCAGCGAAAACGTTTAAACCTGGTTTGCTTTAGCACACATGTTCACTGTTATAATGGGATGTTTTGAAGAAGATAAATAAATAAATTCGTGTGCAATTTTAGCTTCGAATTCGTGGTCAATGTTCGAATTCAGGTGAAGACATTCATTAATTTAATGCATATTCATTGATTAGTTCATGAAATTTTATATAGTTTCCAACTGAAGATTCAATTATTCAAATGAAAATAATGTTCACCTCTTGGCGGAACTCCATAGAATTCATTTCACCACTTTACACTATTATCGCAACTATCTTACAACCAATTTCGATTATGGTTAATTTTGGTTAAGCCCTTTTGTTAACTTACTTAACAAACAATCTTATAAGAACAGTCACAATTCGTATATTCCTTCGTAGCGTGATGACCACTAGATCACATGATAGACACTAGCTAAAATGTTGATCGCTTAAATATCACTCGATTATTCATTCACCTCCAGGATCATCCACTAACCAATTAGCTTGTTTTCGATTAGCGAACGTTAATATGTACGCCTTCATTTAGATCAGTAAATACCATTTGATTGAAAATTTCTTCAATATGTTCAGAATATCGATATAAAGGAGTGATAGTCAAATCATACTCGAAGTATATTTTCATTCTACAGAAAACCGACAGTTTCCAAAATATTATTAACCACACTATTAGAGGATATTCTGATATATCTATGTAATATGCCACAAGGCATATTACCTGTAGTTAGGATTTAATAGGTACAGGTTGTAAACCCAAAAAAACTTAGCATCGTTCTTTGGCTGCGTTCAAGACATTTTCGGGAGCTTACTTCATTCGAATCCTTATACTAACATTTATTTGTTAACAGTAGATTTCACTGTTGACGTAGATACATTGAGCAAGTGATCCCTATGCTTTGTTCATTATTCATTGTTATATATATGCCTAATATCCGCTTAAACTAATCAGTAAAAACCTGTCGTAAATACTTTCGACGTGTCATTCATGTCACCATTATCGGGTTGATTTTCTATCATTTCGTTTGCATCTATGCAACTAATTGACACAAATGGATCTGCATAATAAATAGACTGTTAGAGATTTCGATTTGTCCACATGAATCATAGATGTCACTAATTACATATGTCATGTTTATTCACGAGCAAGACTAATCTACTTGTAAATATTCCTTTATTTTGGATACAATACACAAACTCTTACCTTTGAAAACCAGGAAGCACTGAACAGATATTTCATCTTAGTAAAGAACTCTTGAGCATTGTAAATACACCACCACACCAGAGGTCGTGATCAAAACACTCAGGTCTGTACCGTTAATCTATAATCCAAAACGACAAAACTAAACACTACCCACGAACCACTTTACTAAAACATTATTTTAATATCAGAGCTACTAACTTGCTCATTCATTTCAATATCCATGATATCATTTTACTTGAATTTATCCCTCTGATATCAAGATTAATTACACTATCTCCTTCCGTCTGGATTCAACGATTTACTCACCATACGGTTCCTATGAGCCATACATGAAGCACCATGGACCAGAAACACGATATCCTTTACCTTCTAGAAACTTCGCTACTGGGAAATCAAAGAAAGTTGCATGGTTTGTGAGTAACTGTATACCGAAAAGTCCAAGAATGCAATACGCCAAAGAACTTTCACGACATATCCCGGTGAGTTTGACAAAGCTTAGCATTGAGTTTCTAAACGTTTTTCAATGATCTCAGTGAGACCAACAATTGATGAAAGACTAAATGCATACAGCATGAAGCATGCAACTTTTGCCACTCGGAACTAATTCGTGATAAGAGTGATCTTCATGTTATTAATCATTTCATATGACATGATGATAAAAGTGATTGGAAAGTTGATTGGATCCTGTAGGTTCAAATGAAGGAGAAACGAACTAATAATGATTGAAATATAATGAAACGAGGTCTACTGAAATTGTCTTGATTGATTCAGAGCAATGCGTAAAGTATATATCATCAGTGTACAATTCCCACATCTGCACGACTGTATGTTCTATCATTGCGTTGACAACAGGTCTCCATCTCTGAAACTCCGACTTCTCGATCACACATGCGTTCTCGATGGAGTTCAAGCACTGATTCTTTAGCAATACCTACTTTCCAGCATGTAGCAAAATAGATAAACACGTATAAGGCCCTCAAGCATTCAATTTTTAGCATTGTTCACTTTCACGGTCTTTTGAGCGAGGTTTCGTAGTTACTGACTGGTCATATACTGTTGATGTTTAACGACCAGTGAAGGTGTTCGATTTTATAACGATGTATGTTCATTACTGGAATTTATAATCAATATTACCAACTATGAATATTTGATTGTCTTTCACTTCATTGAGAATTTATCCTATAAATGTACAAGTTGGTTAGTCTACACATATAAACAAATGAGCATCTCAGAAATGTCAGGGATAGTGCTCAGATTGAAGATGATTTCATCGAATCGTCAGTTTGTAGGGAACTGTATCACTGGATCAATATAACTACATGTGACTATTCCTTAAACTGATCTCACAAGATTGCCAATCCAGGTATTCTTACACCATACTCATTGATCACTGACTTTTATGTCCAAGTGTTATATGCATGTACATGAGTGAGCTCACTGTGTTCATGATGGGTATTTAGAAATGCTGGATACAGAAGTGCTGCTGTTGATGTGTCCATAGTTATGCCGAAATGGCTGTGCAGTGCTCTCACGTTTTCAATGATGTTCTAGTTTAGATCTGCTTACGAACTCCACTACTTAAAATTTTAGGAGGAAACTGATCGTTTTATCAAACATACGCACAGTGAATTCGATGCGGTTACCAGCTTCATCATTAAAACATGTAATTTATCTGTTCCGTAGTTCACCGATTCATTTTCTATTTTCAGCTTGATATTTATGGTCAGTGTGGCACGTTATCCTGTCCAAAGTATAATCCGACTTTTACCTCATCAGTTAGCTGCTTGAAAATGATTCGCGAAAATTACAAGTTTTATTTGAGCTTCGAAAATAGTTTGTGCAGTGAATACATAACAGAGAAGTTGTATAAAAATGCATTGAAGTAAGTGGTTTGGTATTAATCTTGCATTATAGTGTAATCAAAGTCATCAATTTATTTATGTGTGCATAATCATCGTCTCAAATTGTCATATTATTTCAGAAAAACGAAATGAAATTGGCAGAGTGAACTGCAATGGATTACATTGATGTTGGTTTTAGTGATAGGCGGCAACTCATGGTCATCCAGCAATTACTTATTTTCTTACTTACTTACTCACTTACGCCCGTTACCCTTCGTGGAGAAGCATATGCCAACCACCACCATTCTCCATCCAACTCTGCCCTGGACAATCCTTTCCAGTTCTTTCCACTTGCTATTCATCCTTTTCATATCTGCTTACGATTGCCGACGACGCGACTACTTCGGTCTTCCTCCTTTGCGTTCACATTCACGATTCCAAATTAGTGCTTGTATCGTGATGCAGTTTGGTGATTTACTCAATTTATTTCCTGTCTACCTTCATCATCTTTTCCTTATTTCCTCTTCAGATGGGAGCTGGTTTGTTCTCTCTCACAGTAGGTTATTGCTGATGGTATACACTCAACGGACATTGAGTATTTTGCATGGACAATTGTTTACAAATACTTGTACGCTTTTGATGATGGTTGTGATAGTTCTCGAAGCTTCTGTCTTGACGTTCGTATTGACGATTCTGACTTTGATATTGTTTGGCAGTTGTTTTCAGTTCTATACGTTCTTCACCTTCACATAGTTGCAGACAAATAAGGATTCTTCAATGTGAAATAGATTTCAGTGAGGTCTTCTGAAGATGTTTAACAGCATATTGTACATAATATAAAATGAGGGATCTAATGCTCAATACTCTGAATAAACTTCACATTAGAGAAGGGAGAATATGAGAAGTCCATGACACATCTTATTTGAGCACGTTGACAGGTATCCTCAAATATTAAACGTGATAGTGCTCGATCAATTTTTTGTATAACTAGTCCCACAAAAATGTTATGTTTTATGGCCTGTCAAGTACCAGGCAACTAAAACGCCAGTTAAAATACTTATTTCTATGACATTGTTTCTGTGCTAAACCAATGATGCTTCATGTAGCACTAGGAGCCCTGAGTCAAATATGAGTTCTTATTGGTCATCTTCATAACAAATTCTCACCGAGACCAGCTCGTCTAGTCCAGAACAAAGATAGCGGCCCCTACTGTGTGTTTAAATGTTGTTGCAATATTATTAGAGGCCAAGTGTTCTCATTAGGGTGAAGTCCTCACATTTAATTTGAAATCCTCAATGAAATAGAATAAACTAGAAATCTTGAATTAATTTGTGAATTATAACTTTTTGGTGTGTGTGCGTTCTTTGCTTAGCATTTCTTATTATTCTTTCACTTTTTCTGCCTAATATATATCAGATAAACGTGGTTTATATACAAGCAGAACAAAACGCATCACACTGTATTAAGAAAAATAATAATTACACGGGATTAAGCAAAATGTGGCTGTGATTGTGGGATATTGTAACAAATAAATTGCGAATAAGTTAAGAATGGTTAAACGTATTGCAGTAGCCAATACGTCAAACGAAACTTTATGATCAAACTAACATAACCAAGCAAACAGTGGCAGTAGACAACAGGTCAAACGAAACCTTATGATAAAAGAAACCTTAATATACGTACTATATATATATATATAATCTGGTTACTTAATAATTATCTCGTAAGAATATATGCAATATTAAATGGACGGTGGTTAGCAGTGGAATCCGCGATACGCGTTCCATCATACTCGGTGATCCTCAGCTGAATGTATCTGAATCACCCAGTTGATGTTCACTCGTGGAATCGAACCCAGTACCGTGCGCCCCTAGATTCACTACTAGCCTCCATCCATCTCTGCTTATAATGCTTGTGACGTAAAGCAATATCGAGGCAATCTTCACAGGATACACATATGTCAATTAGAGACTAATCAATGTCAGTCATAAACATCAATGGAACGACTCAAACAAACAATACCAAATTCAATATGTAGTAATAGTCTATAAATAATTGGTAGCAGTTACCAATGTGTATTAAGCAATCATAGTCCATATGTTTTCATATCTGTCACGTCAAAATAAAACGGTGAAACTGGTTAAAACTGAAATCTCATCTCCATCGTTCTGTAAGTTGAAATTTTGATATTTTCAATGTATATACATATTTTTGCGAATGTTCACGGTTCACTTGCATGATGAGATTTCGATAAGTGTTTAACAAATTGCAAACTTATTATTCATTCCAAGAAACGATCTACTTCCAATTGTGATGGGTGCATCGATAGAGGAATATGAAAGAGTCGCTCCTCCATACTCGTTCATTCACGTTGATCAATTCGAATCACCAGCTAAACTGGCAGACTATTTGAAGTATTTGGACAAGAACGATACTGCATATAATGAATATTTTGCATGGCATGGTCATGGAGTCATACATGATTACGATGCCCAACCTCAATGTGCAATGTGTCTGCTAGCTCATACATCTCATTCATTTGGTCCCTATTGGGTTCCGAGTGTGGCACGATGGTGGAATGATGGATGTAATGGTCGGAAATTGCGTTGGAATCCATGAAACATGAATATTGAGAACAGAAACATTGTTTTATTGTGGATTGTATTAAATTGTAATGTACATAGTGCTTTCTGTGGTATAGATCAAATTACATTTGAAAATGAATAACATTTTACACATAATAACAATACTGATATTTTTCATGAAAACAGTTGTCACGTTAACTCAGACAATTTCATATGGAATAATTATCGAGCAACATAATGCTGTACACTATTCACAAATAATTGTAATATGATGATGAGAAAGGTATAAATGTTCATAATAGAGAAGTATTGGTAAGGAAAATAACGAAAATTGGATTTGAGGGAGGGAAAGTATTATCTTTTCATATTAACTTTCCATCCTAACTTTCGACCAATTTTAATATCAATACCATGGGAATTAATAATTAACACTGTCTGAATTGTAGTTTCAACTGATTCACGTGAATATAAATGAGTTAATAATTGGACAAATGTAAATATTAGTCAGTTGGTTAATGGCAAAACATAGTCGTGTAAATGAATGGACAATAATATCAAAGGGTTTTTTTATTAGACATGTATAGTTTCACAATTGATTGATCACTGAGTGGTGATCAATATCATGTGTGTCAGGTACTTCTTAGTGCAGATCGAATGATATCGACCAAATTACAATGTGGCCACCACTCTAGGTAACTCAACATTGCGTGCACTATGTTGAGATAAGATGGTCAGATTGAAGAATCTGTGAGAACCCCTTATAGATGTAAATGTGATAATTTAAATGAATGATATAGAAAGGGATTATTTACTCAACATAATATACGCTATGTGACTGAAGGGTAGTGATGTTACTTGGATGGCTAGAGAGTAGATCGTGCATGAGCGTTTCGAACACGTGACACAATGTCACTTTTCAAAGTAATAATTATGTTGAGTGGAATATGATTCTTGCAGTCAGTGTTGTCTAAACTACTAGAGAGACAAAGTCCTAATGCTTTGTCCGTTCTTTGTTCACCTGGAAAATGCGACATTTTGCAATTGACAGATAATTCCCATTTAAACATTAAAATTAAAACACGAAGTTCAGTGAAGAGATCTCTTTTCAACGAATTCATTATCAAGCTGTACAATCGTATATATATAAAAATTGTACAGCTTGATAATAAATTCGTTGAAAAGAGATCTCTTCACTGAACTTCGTGTTTTAATTTTAACATTTTGCAATGACATCAAGTCGCTCATTTCTGCATCACGTGAGTAGTCAAAAGTGTGTGGAGAAAACAAGTTTCAAAAATCAATCTTCGTTACCTAGATTGTTATCGTGAATATGATACTCTTTGTTCTTTCTTAAAACATTTCTCTGAAGTTGTGTTACGTTTTCATCGTCTTTGTCAATTATAAATTAAAGTTTTACCTTCGTTTCCGAATAGATTTAAGATGACATGAATGGCACAATCGCTAGTTCAGGAAATCATAATTAAAACCACAGGCCATCTACAGAGAGACCGATGAGTGCATAAATTGTGACGAAATGGTCACTTATCAATCCTCTATTAAGTATCAGGGACAATGGTTATATAGTTCACTTGAATATCTGACGATTGATTCGTCTCGTGATAACTGTTACATTGGTTTGGCAGTATAACATATATTTAATGAGTCTGGAAATTTTCCCAAACACATTTTCCCATGTGATTCACTGGAAAATGTGGCGAGACTCTAATTTAGGGACGAGCCAATCAGAGGCGTTTGAGCAATTTCAATTATTAGCCAATCAGGAGACAGTCTAAATTAAAAATATATTATAAGTAATGAATTACAGTGGATATTCCTCTTTTATATGATTTGAAAACGTGTTAAGGTTTGATAAAGGGTCAGAGGTTGTGAATTCATAATGCATACGGTATAGAAACTCGTCCAAATGTTAGGGTTAGGGTTAGGGTTGAGGGTTAGGGACTGGAGTTAGGGTTGTAGCCTAGGGTTAGGGTTGGGGTTTAGGGTTAGGGTAAGGGTTAGAGTGAGGGTTACGGTTAGGGTTGTAGCCTCTCAATAAATGCCTCTTCTCTAAAATCTGTTGTAAACCGATCGTATGTTAGCATCCTAACCCTAACGCTAACCTAACCTTAACCTTCACACTAAACCCTTAACCCTAAACCTAACCCTATGGAGGAGTTTCTATACCATATGCATTATGAACTCACAACTTCTGAACCTTCATCAAACCTTAACAAGCCTTTAAATCATGTAAAAGAAGAATATCCTCTGTAATTCATTACCTCCTTATAATATATTTTCAATTTATACTAACTGCCTGCTTGTCCAGCTTAAGTGTCCAAAGATGGAATTTAGAATTGAGAGCTCATTTTTTCATCATTGACGTTAGAGTGCTGAGAGCGTACCATATGCAAACTTCCTAACATGTTATTCCTAACTCGAGAAACTATCTAATAAGGGTGGTTGTTAGTTAGTTCAACCAGTGCCTGTTAATCAGCAGTTGATGACAATATGACAAATTAAATGCTTATTAGGTTATCAAATAATTCTCCTTATACAAACATAGTCACTCATTTCTCTGGTTGAACATTTGAGAAGTTACTATTAATGAGCCAACAATTGGTTGATCCCTGAGTGGTAGCCGGAAGCCTATGCTGATCGGATTTCATCGATCGAGTTACAATATTACTACTAGTCTAAGTGACCAAGCATCAGAGTCATTGAAATTAATATACTGGTTATACGCTACAATGGAAAATAAGTTGAAATACATGATGATCGATTGAATTATGTTTTACACTACGATGTTTGAAATAAGGTAAACTCGTTTATACCACTGGAATTTATTTAGAGTGAATTTATCAGAAGGGGTTTTGTGGAGATGTTAGTAATTTCACTATTTGAGATCAAGAGTCAAATGAATCTGGACAACCATGGAAAACCTGGAAGCACTGGACGGCCGTTTTGTCCTGATAGATCCTGGGCGAGAAATCGAGACGTACATGAGAAGAATAAAAATTGTACAGCTTGATAATGAATTCGTTGAAAAGAGATCCCTTCACTGAACTTCGTGTTTTAATTTTAATGTTTAAATGGGAATTATCTGTCAATTGCAAAATGTCGCATTTTCCAGGTGAACAAAGAACGGACAAAGCATTAGGACTTTGTCTCTCTAGTAGTTTAGACAACACTGACTGCAAGAATCATATTCCACTCAACATAATTATTACTTTGAAAAGTGACATTGTGTCACGTGTTCGAAACGCTCATGCACGATCTACTCTCTAGCCATCCAAGTAACATCACTACCCTTCAGTCACATAGCGTATATTATGTTGAGTAAATAATCCCTTTCTATATCATTCATTTAAATTATCACATTTACATCTATAAGGGGTTCTCACAGATTCTTCAATCTGACCATCTTATCTCAACATAGTGCACGCAATGTTGAGTTACCTAGAGTGGTGGCCACATTGTAATTTGGTCGATATCATTCGATCTGCACTAAGAAGTACCTGACACACATGATATTGATCACCACTCAGTGATCAATCAATTGTGAAACTATACATGTCTAATAAAAAAACCCTTTGATATTATTGTCCATTCATTTACACGACTATGTTTTGCCATTAACCAACTGACTAATATTTACATTTGTCCAATTATTAACTCATTTATATTCACGTGAATCAGTCGAAACTACAATTCAGACGGTGTTAATTATTAATTCCCATGGTATTGATATTAAAATTGGTCGAAAGTTAGGATGGAAAGTTAATATGAAAAGATAATACTTTCCCTCCCTCAAATCCAATTTTCGTTATTTTCCTTACCAATACTTCTCTATTATGAACATTTATACCTTTCTCATCATCATATTACAATTATTTGTGAATAGTGTACAGCATTATGTTGCTCGATAATTATTCCATATGAAATTGTCTGAGTTAACGTGACAACTGTTTTCATGAAAAATATCAGTATTGTTATTATGTGTAAAATGTTATTCATTTTCAAATGTAATTTGATCTATACCACAGAAAGCACTATGTACATTACAATTTAATACAATCCACAATAAAACAATGTTTCTGTTCTCAATATTCATGTTTCATGGATTCCAACGCAATTTCCGACCATTACATCCATCATTCCACCATCGTGCCACACGCGGAACCCAATAGGGACCAAATGAATGAGATGTATGAGCTAGCAGACACATTGCACATTGAGGTTGGGCATCGTAATCATGTATGACTCCATGACCATGCCATGCAAAATATTCATTATATGCAGTATCGTTCTTGTCCAAATACTTCAAATAGTCTGCCAGTTTAGCTGGTGATTCGAATTGATCAACGTGAATGAACGAGTATGGAGGAGCGACTCTTTCATATTCCTCTATCGATGCACCCATCACAATTGGAAGTAGATCGTTTCTTGGAATGAATAATAAGTTTGCAATTTGTTAAACACTTATCGAAATCTCATCATGCAAGTGAACCGTGAACATTCGCAAAAATATGTATATACATTGAAAATATCAAAATTTCAACTTACAGAACGATGGAGATGAGATTTCAGTTTTAACCAGTTTCACCGTTTTATTTTGACGTGACAGATATGAAAACATATGGACTATGATTGCTTAATACACATTGGTAACTGCTACCAATTATTTATAGACTATTACTACATATTGAATTTGGTATTGTTTGTTTGAGTCGTTCCATTGATGTTTATGACTGACATTGATTAGTCTCTAATTGACATATGTGTATCCTGTGAAGATTGCCTCGATATTGCTTTACGTCACAAGCATTATAAGCAGAGATGGATGGAGGCTAGTAGTGAATCTAGGGGCGCACGGTACTGGGTTCGATTCCACGAGTGAACATCAACTGGGTGATTCAGATACATTCAGCTGAGGATCACCGAGTATGATGGAACGCGTATCGCGGATTCCACTGCTAACCACCGTCCATTTAATATTGCATATATTCATAAGTGTCACAAAAATATGAAATTGCTTACTATCTTTCGTTACTAATGCTGAAATTAAATGAAAAGTGTCAATTTTTCATTCATTTCCTGAGATATGAATAGAAGCCGAATAAAATAAACATACGTTTTCTTTATTTAAGGAGTGTATTGTATCATCAAAACTTATTTTGTACAAGGAATCCAGTTGTTATTTGATCAGAAAGAAAATTAGGATTTTTTTGATGAATATCCATCACGTTGTAATAAATTTAGACTTAATTCATTATGATTGTATTTGAATAATTTGATTAAAATTGAATTTGAGTTGAAATAATTGTTCTAAGTGATGGAAATGTCCAGTAGATGACGGGATGTTGTTTAGTTTAAGGTTCCTAGTAATACCCTACTTGCTACTTAAATGACATATTCAAACTTCAAATTGGGTTAATTACATTGATTACATAAAGATACACGTGAGCCTTCATTAATGATTCACTTGATATTGTTTTATTTGAAACTTCCCATTGATGTTTTTGGACTGAAATTGAACAGTCTCTTATTGGCATATGTCCATACTGTGCGTATGCCTCGATATTGCCTTAATTTACAAGCATTATAAGCAAAGATGGATAGTGGCTAGCAGTGGAATCCAGGACGCGCGTTTCGTCCTGTTTGGGACTCGTCAGCTGGATGTACCTGCATCTCAGAGTTGATGTTCACTCTGGGACTCGAACTCAGTACCGTTCGCTTCAAACGCCATCGCGTTATCCACTTAGCTACTGAGTCCTGATAGCCACTTGCTTGTGCAATGGGTTGAAGTTTAATTCACTTGATATTGTTTTATTTGAAACTTCCCATTGATGTTTTTGGACTGAAATTGAACAGTCTCTTATTGGCATATGTGCATACTGTGCGTATGCCTCGATATTGCCTTAATTTACAAGCATTATAAGCAAAGATGGATAGTGGCTAGCAGTGGAATCCAGGACGCGCGTTTCGTCCTGTTTGGGACTCGTCAGCTGGATGTACCTGCATCTCAGAGTTGATGTTCACTCTGGGACTCGAACTCAGTACCGTTCGCTTCAAACGCCATCGCGTTATCCACTTAGCTACTGAGTCCTGATAGCCACTTGCTTGTGCAATGGGTTGAAGTTTAATTCACTTGATATTGTTTTATTTGAAACTTCCCATTGATGTTTTGGACTGAAATTGATCAGTCTCTTATTGGCATATGTGCATACTGTGCGTATGCCTCGATAATGCCTTAATTTACAAGCATTATAAGCAAAGATGGATAGTGGCTAGCAGTGGAATCCAGGACGCGCGTTTCGTCCTGTTTGGGACTCGTCAGCTGGATGTACCTGCATCTCAGAGTTGATGTTCACTCTGGGACTCGAACTCAGTACCGTTCGCTTCAAACGCCATCGCGTTATCCACTTAGCTACTGAGTCCTGATAGCCACTTGCTTGTGCAATGGGTTGAAGTTTAATTCACTTGATATTGTTTTATTTGAAACTTCCCATTGATGTTTTTGGACTGAAATTGAACAGTCTCTTATTGGCATATGTGCATACTGTGCGTATGCCTCGATATTGCCTTAATTTACAAGCATTATAAGCAAAGATGGATAGTGGCTAGCAGTGGAATCCAGGACGCGCGTTTCGTCCTGTTTGGGACTCGTCAGCTGGATGTACCTGCATCTCAGAGTTGATGTTCACTCTGGGACTCGAACTCAGTACCGTTCGCTTCAAACGCCATCGCGTTATCCACTTAGCTACTGAGTCCTGATAGCCACTTGCTTGTGCAATGGGTTGAAGTTTAATTCACTTGATATTGTTTTATTTGAAACTTCCCATTGATGTTTTGGACTGAAATTGATCAGTCTCTTATTGGCATATGTGCATACTGTGCGTATGCCTCGATAATGCCTTAATTTACAAGCATTATAAGCAAAGATGGATAGTGGCTAGCAGTGGAATCCAGGACGCGCGTTTCGTCCTGTTTGGGACTCGTCAGCTGGATGTACCTGCATCTCAGAGTTGATGTTCACTCTGGGACTCGAACTCAGTACCGTTCGCTTCAAACGCCATCGCGTTATCCACGTAGCTACTGAGTCCTGATAGCCACTTGCTTGTGCAATGGGTTGAAGTTTAATTCACTTGATATTGTTTTATTTGAAACATCCAATTGATGTTTTTGGACTGAAATTGAACAGTCTCTTATTGGCAAATGTGCTAAGTGGATAACGCGATGGCGTTTGAAGCGAACGGTACTGAGTTCGAGTCCCAGAGTGAACATCAACTCTGAGATGCAGGTACATCCAGCTGACGAGTCCCAAACAGGACGAAACGCGCGTCCTGGATTCCACTGCTAGCCACTATCCATCTTTGCTTATAATGCTTGTAAATTAAGGCAATATCGAGGCATACGCACAGTATGCACATATGCCAATAAGAGACTGTTCAATTTCAGTCCAAAAACATCAATGGGAAGTTTCAAATAAAACAATATCAAGTGAATTAAACTTCAACCCATTGCACAAGCAAGTGGCTATCAGGACTCAGTAGCTAAGTGGATAACGCGATGGCGTTTGAAGCGAACGGTACTGAGTTCGAGTCCCAGAGTGAACATCAACTCTGAGATGCAGGTACATCCAGCTGACGAGTCCCAAACAGGACGAAACGCGCGTCCTGGATTCCACTGCTAGCCACTATCCATCTTTGCTTATAATGCTTGTAAATTAAGGCAATATCGAGGCATACGCACAGTATGCACATATGCCAATAAGAGACTGATCAATTTCAGTCCAAAAACATCAATGGGAAGTTTCAAATAAAACAATATCAAGTGAATTAAACTTCAACCCATTGCACAAGCAAGTGGCTATCAGGACTCAGTAGCTAAGTGGATAACGCGATGGCGTTTGAAGCGAACGGTACTGAGTTCGAGTCCCAGAGTGAACATCAACTCTGAGATGCAGGTACATCCAGCTGACGAGTCCCAAACAGGACGAAACGCGCGTCCTGGATTCCACTGCTAGCCACTATCCATCTTTGCTTATAATGCTTGTAAATTAAGGCAATATCGAGGCATACGCACAGTATGCACATATGCCAATAAGAGACTGTTCAATTTCAGTCCAAAAACATCAATGGGAAGTTTCAAATAAAACAATATCAAGTGAATTAAACTTCAACCCATTGCACAAGCAAGTGGCTATCAGGACTCAGTAGCTAAGTGGATAACGCGATGGCGTTTGAAGCGAACGGTACTGAGTTCGAGTCCCAGAGTGAACATCAACTCTGAGATGCAGGTACATCCAGCTGACGAGTCCCAAACAGGACGAAACGCGCGTCCTGGATTCCACTGCTAGCCACTATCCATCTTTGCTTATAATGCTTGTAAATTAAGGCAATATCGAGGCATACGCACAGTATGCACATATGCCAATAAGAGACTGTTCAATTTCAGTCCAAAAACATCAATGGGAAGTTTCAAATAAAACAATATCAAGTGAATTAAACTTCAACCCATTGCACAAGCAAGTGGCTATCAGGACTCAGTAGCTAAGTGGATAACGCGATGGCGTTTGAAGCGAACGGTACTGAGTTCGAGTCCCAGAGTGAACATCAACTCTGAGATGCAGGTACATCCAGCTGACGAGTCCCAAACAGGACGAAACGCGCGTCCTGGATTCCACTGCTAGCCACTATCCATCTTTGCTTATAATGCTTGTAAATTAAGGCAATATCGAGGCATACGCACAGTATGCACATATGCCAATAAGAGACTGATCAATTTCAGTCCAAAAACATCAATGGGAAGTTTCAAATAAAACAATATCAAGTGAATTAAACTTCAACCCATTGCACAAGCAAGTGGCTATCAGGACTCAGTAGCTAAGTGGATAACGCGATGGCGTTTGAAGCGAACGGTACTGAGTTCGAGTCCCAGAGTGAACATCAACTCTGAGATGCAGGTACATCCAGCTGACGAGTCCCAAACAGGACGAAACGCGCGTCCTGGATTCCACTGCTAGCCACTATCCATCTTTGCTTATAATGCTTGTAAATTAAGGCAATATCGAGGCATACGCACAGTATGCACATATGCCAATAAGAGACTGTTCAATTTCAGTCCAAAAACATCAATGGGAAGTTTCAAATAAAACAATATCAAGTGAATTAAACTTCAACCCATTGCACAAGCAAGTGGCTATCAGGACTCAGTAGCTAAGTGGATAACGCGATGGCGTTTGAAGCGAACGGTACTGAGTTCGAGTCCCAGAGTGAACATCAACTCTGAGATGCAGGTACATCCAGCTGACGAGTCCCAAACAGGACGAAACGCGCGTCCTGGATTCCACTGCTAGCCACTATCCATCTTTGCTTATAATGCTTGTAAATTAAGGCAATATCGAGGCATACGCACAGTATGCACATATGCCAATAAGAGACTGATCAATTTCAGTCCAAAAACATCAATGGGAAGTTTCAAATAAAACAATATCAAGTGAATTAAACTTCAACCCATTGCACAAGCAAGTGGCTATCAGGACTCAGTAGCTAAGTGGATAACGCGATGGCGTTTGAAGCGAACGGTACTGAGTTCGAGTCCCAGAGTGAACATCAACTCTGAGATGCAGGTACATCCAGCTGACGAGTCCCAAACAGGACGAAACGCGCGTCCTGGATTCCACTGCTAGCCACTATCCATCTTTGCTTATAATGCTTGTAAATTAAGGCAATATCGAGGCATACGCACAGTATGCACATATGCCAATAAGAGACTGTTCAATTTCAGTCCAAAAACATCAATGGGAAGTTTCAAATAAAACAATATCAAGTGAATTAAACTTCAACCCATTGCACAAGCAAGTGGCTATCAGGACTCAGTAGCTAAGTGGATAACGCGATGGCGTTTGAAGCGAACGGTACTGAGTTCGAGTCCCAGAGTGAACATCAACTCTGAGATGCAGGTACATCCAGCTGACGAGTCCCAAACAGGACGAAACGCGCGTCCTGGATTCCACTGCTAGCCACTATCCATCTTTGCTTATAATGCTTGTAAATTAAGGCAATATCGAGGCATACGCACAGTATGCACATATGCCAATAAGAGACTGATCAATTTCAGTCCAAAAACATCAATGGGAAGTTTCAAATAAAACAATATCAAGTGAATTAAACTTCAACCCATTGCACAAGCAAGTGGCTATCAGGACTCAGTAGCTAAGTGGATAACGCGATGGCGTTTGAAGCGAACGGTACTGAGTTCGAGTCCCAGAGTGAACATCAACTCTGAGATGCAGGTACATCCAGCTGACGAGTCCCAAACAGGACGAAACGCGCGTCCTGGATTCCACTGCTAGCCACTATCCATCTTTGCTTATAATGCTTCACTAATGATGCTACCAAATACTATACGTGCCACCACTGTGATACATTCTAAGGGGCAATGTTATGTTGAATTTTTTACAGTTCATTATTAACATGATTCTGATTCCGAACTTTCAGAATTCCCTGCACTACACTAACCTCGCTCAAAAGACCGTGAAAGTGAGCAATGCTAAAGATTGAGTGCTTGAGGGCCTTATATGTGTTTATCTATTTTGCTACATGCTGGAAAGTAGGTATTGCTAAAGAATCAGTGCTTGAACTCCATCGAGACGCATGTGTGATCGAGAAGTCGGAGTTTCAGAGATGGAGACCTGTTGTCAACGCAATGATAGAACATACAGTCGTGCAGATGTGGGAATTGTACACTGATGATATATACTTTACGCATTGCTCTGAATCAATCAAGACAATTTCAGTAGACCTCGTTTCATTATATTTCAATCATTATTAGTTCGTTTCTCCTTCATTTGAACCTACAGGATCCAATCAACTTTCCAATCACTTTTATCATCATGTCATATGAAATGATTAATAACATGAAGATCACTCTTATCACGAATTAGTTCCGAGTGGCAAAAGTTGCATGCTTCATGCTGTATGCATTTAGTCTTTCATCAATTGTTGGTCTCACTGAGATCATTGAAAAACGTTTAGAAACTCAATGCTAAGCTTTGTCAAACTCACCGGGATATGTCGTGAAAGTTCTTTGGCGTATTGCATTCTTGGACTTTTCGGTATACAGTTACTCACAAACCATGCAACTTTCTTTGATTTCCCAGTAGCGAAGTTTCTAGAAGGTAAAGGATATCGTGTTTCTGGTCCATGGTGCTTCATGTATGGCTCATAGGAACCGTATGGTGAGTAAATCGTTGAATCCAGACGGAAGGAGATAGTGTAATTAATCTTGATATCAGAGGGATAAATTCAAGTAAAATGATATCATGGATATTGAAATGAATGAGCAAGTTAGTAGCTCTGATATTAAAATAATGTTTTAGTAAAGTGGTTCGTGGGTAGTGTTTAGTTTTGTCGTTTTGGATTATAGATTAACGGTACAGACCTGAGTGTTTTGATCACGACCTCTGGTGTGGTGGTGTATTTACAATGCTCAAGAGTTCTTTACTAAGATGAAATATCTGTTCAGTGCTTCCTGGTTTTCAAAGGTAAGAGTTTGTGTATTGTATCCAAAATAAAGGAATATTTACAAGTAGATTGGTCTTGCTCGTGAATAAACATGACATATGTAATTAGTGACATCTATGATTCATGTGGACAAATCGAAATCTCTAACAGTCTATTTATTATGCAGATCCATTTGTGTCAATTAGTTGCATAGATGCAAACGAAATGATAGAAAATCAACCCGATAATGGTGACATGAATGACACGTCGAAAGTATTTACGACAGGTTTTTACTGATTAGTTTAAGCGGATATTAGGCATATATATAACAATGAATAATGAACAAAGCATAGGGATCACTTGCTCAATGTATCTACGTCAACAGTGAAATCTACTGTTAACAAATAAATGTTAGTATAAGGATTCGAATGAAGTAAGCTCCCGAAAATGTCTTGAACGCAGCCAAAGAACGATGCTGTCTAAGTTTTTTTGGGTTTACAACCTGTACCTATTAAATCCTAACTACAGGTAATATGCCTTGTGGCATATTACATAGATATATCAGAATATCCTCTAATAGTGTGGTTAATAATATTTTGGAAACTGTCGGTTTTCTGTAGAATGAAAATATACTTCGAGTATGATTTGACTATCACTCCTTTATATCGATATTCTGAACATATTGAAGAAATTTTCAATCAAATGGTATTTACTGATCTAAATGAAGGCGTACATATTAACGTTCGCTAATCGAAAACAAGCTAATTGGTTAGTGGATGATCCTGGAGGTGAATGAATAATCGAGTGATATTTAAGCGATCAACATTTTAGCTAGTGTCTATCATGTGATCTAGTGGTCATCACGCTACGAAGGAATATACGAATTGTGACTGTTCTTATAAGATTGTTTGTTAAGTAAGTTAACAAAAGGGCTTAACCAAAATTAACCATAATCGAAATTGGTTGTAAGATAGTTGCGATAATAGTGTAAAGTGGTGAAATGAATTCTATGGAGTTCCGCCAAGAGGTGAACATTATTTTCATTTGAATAATTGAATCTTCAGTTGGAAACTATATAAAATTTCATGAACTAATCAATGAATATGCATTAAATTAATGAATGTCTTCACCTGAATTCGAACATTGACCACGAATTCGAAGCTAAAATTGCACACGAATTTATTTATTTATCTTCTTCAAAACATCCCATTATAAAATCAATCACAGTGTAACATGTGTGCTAAAGCAAACCAGGTTTAAACGTTTTCGCTGGACAACTTCTACTGTTGTGTGACGCATAGGTATGTGTTTCATGGGAATTCATAAACTTCACACAATTAGTCCATTTCGTGGATCAAAATGAAGAATGGTGACATTATTCGTTGAGTAACACGAATCTATTCACACTTTGTAGTCCTCGTCAGCTACATACAACCGTAATGAAATGATAAAGATTAGTAATATTACTATGGTCAGAATTACTCACTTCATTTTCCAGTGTACCTGCCATAGCAATATGTACAGGCGACTCTTCTATTAAACTAAACCATAATTGCTCTGGAGGTCGAATTCCATTCGGCACTTTATCTTCTGTCAGTATAAGTGCATCAGCTTCTCGCCATCTGTTCATGTCAGTGATAACTGCACATTTCGAAGCATGACATTTTGAAAAGTTCATTGGTCTAAAAATTGTACGATGCCCATAGTTGAGAAACGTCTTCACCTGAAACATGAGTTGATACAAATTCATGTGTTGATTTTCACAATTTATTGAGCATCATATCTAACATCTATTTTATACATAGTTCAGTAATCAAACGCACAAAATATGATTTCGTCAATCTCATATTCAAGTGAACGGTATATGTCCAAATGTTTTATGGAATGGATATAGTTGTGAGCAGCAATGGAAACTAGGATTCGAGGTTCTTTCCTTCGGAGATTCATCAAAATCCAGACAAGATTATAAACAATGGGATAATTTACAACCTTTCTATCAATGATATTTATCCTGATGGTTAGTAGTGATGGCGAGGTTTATTATAGAGGTCATTCATGCAATTGATGCCATTTGAATGAAACGAACACGAGATGTGAGCATCAATTTGATGGAGAGTTTGAAACGGACGTTATTTCACACCTGTCATCCAGAAACATCTGAAGAACGTGTCTTCAACTCCTCATATATCTCACCATACACATTCCACTTACAAACATCATCTCTCAACCAAAGTTTCTGTGATGATTCAACAACAGACCTGGTGGTGAGTGGATCACTGTGACGAAAACTACTGTGAAATCGAACAATGTACACAAATATTTTGCACACACAATCTCGGTCATTTTGAAATATCAATGAATAATTAGTAAGGATCAGTTAATTAGAAGACAGTCAGTCTATTCAACATCAAAGAATATTTCTAATAGTTGACTTACGGTCTTATTCACACCCAATGAATCATATAATTTCTCAAGTCTATTTTCTTCCAGACTATATCTCAGTGGGTATTTTTGAACGGATGTTTTACTGATAGGGGAATATATTTTGTGTAATACACTAGCAAGATCTGATTCTGACCCGTTTGGAACAGATATATTATTGCACGAAAATTCTATTGTTTTAGGTATTACATCATGATCGACTTGATTGATTCTCCATTGAAAGAGACTTGGTACAATGTTCATCACCCATACGATCAATAGAATAATTGAAACACTGTACAACAATTTGACTGTCAATGTATATTTATCACTTCGTACAACTATATCAAAACTTTTACGCATGATGTTTATTACAGAATTGATTGGACGTCAGTTATAAGGACTGATCACCAGAAATGTGCGATATTATCTGAAAATTGTAAAACAGTCATTAAAGCACTGACAACAATCACTGATTACAACCTTTTATTAGTGAAATATCATAAGCCACATTATAACGCATTCATGTCATCTAGTTGAGAAAATATTCACGTAACAACAATCGTTTTTTTTGAATATATTAAGTTTACATTACCCATACCTTGGTCTATAGAATGATTCTGTTGAAATTGAAATGAATGGTGTACATTTCGGTCGAATATATATATATATATATATATATATATTGACAGATAATTCCCATTTAAACATTAAAATTAAAACACGAATTTCAGCGAAGGGATCTCTTTTCAACGAATTTATTATCAAGCTGTACAATCGTATATATATGAAAATTTTGTTTTTGTAAAAGTACTAATTCCGAGAGGGAGAGAGAGAAGGAGAGAGAGAGTGAGTGAGAGAGTATTACATTACGCCATTGCATTCATTAATTTTAATACCTTATTACTTATTCAAATGATCATTGGTGAATTCAAGTATATACCATGTATTCGTATAATTGATCCAAAGAGCACAACAACAACAACAACAACAACAATACAATAGTAATGAATTCATTTCATTTCAGTATTATTTCATGAATAAATTGTTTATTTATTTGTTCGTTTGTTTGTTTTTGTGCTCTTACATTCAGTATTGAGCATTAAATATTACTCATTTTTAAAATTATATACATTAGATTGGCAACTGGTGGCCTGCTTGAATATCTGGGCTACCTGTTACTGCCATCTAATTATTTCAACAAGTTATCTGTTTTTTCATTTTTTTTAACTTATCATTATGTCCATTAATCGCATAACCTATTCAGGCGCTTTTATGAAAAGCCTACGACCTTTCGCTGCACAAGTTACAAAAAAGTACTATAAAAGACATCGTGGTGGTTAGCAATATGTGTTAAAAAGAATGAACATTAATCGTATGTCGATTCCCGAGCTTCTAAATTCTAACTGCCGATCACTAATCAACAAAGTGGACTATCTGCAATTCCTACTAAGTCAAAATATGTACCGTAATTGTGCTGTCATCACAATTCAAGAATCTTGGTTAAATGATTTACAGGATGACTACCTAGTATCACTAAGTGATTTCGAAATTTATCGTCAGGACCAATCAAACAATAGAAAGAGGTGTGGTGGCGGTGTAGCTACGTTTGTAAACATAAACTGGTGTCGATCTTCGTTTGTGTGTTTTAAGTTTTCAAATGACTTTATCGACTGTCTAACTCTAAGATGTCGTTCAAAACATCTGAATAAATACAAATATGTTTATGTTACCAGTATCTACGTGACTCCAGACTGCACATCATCTGCGCTATCCGTTTTCGCTGGTGAATTCACTGAGTTCGTGGTTACTGCCTTCAGTGATTCACTTTCAGTTGTATGTGGTGATTTAAATTTATGTGACTGTAGCTTCTTTACGTCACTAGGTCACCAAAATGTAGTAGATTTTCCTACCCGTTTGGATGTTCACTTAGACTTGTTTTCATTAATGGTGTGGGTATATATGCGACTGGTAAACGTGCTCCATTGTCTAGCTCGGATCACTGTATAATTCGTGTTCTACCTAAAGTAATATGGAAAGCATGGGAAGAGTACACTCTTACATCAAGCCAAGAAAGTCAAATATAGGAATTACTCAGAAGAAAATATTCGGAATCTGAAAAACATGTTTCATACGACTAACTGGGAATTATTTACAGATGACTCACTGGAAATCACTACTGATATTATCACTTGTTATCTTAAATTCTGTTTTGATATTTGTTGTCCCACTGAAACCATTTTTGTAAGTTTTGATCGACTTACATCTTCACAACTAAAACGACTACGGAGGGTGAAAGAAAGAATGTACAAGGAGAAGAACTCTAATGAAGTTCGTAAGCTAAATGGTCTGGTAAACCTAGATATTAGACGTCTCAACTCTATGCTTACTCAAAAACTCTTGTCTTGCGGAAATTCTCCAAGTATGTGGAAACTCTTTAAAGAACTTACAGGTGACAGACAGTTTAGGAGCGATAACCAGCTGAATGTTTGTGACTTAAATAAATCTTTTGTACGTCAGTCATATGATGTGATGTTCCCTTTATCCGCAGGTTTAAATAATAGCTGTGTTCCTAGTTTCACTGAAACTGATGTAGGAAGATGTTTCCAGTCACTTAATTCATCTCGATCTTTGGGACCTGATGGTATGTCAAACATCCTTTCTAAAAAGTGTGCTGACGTCCAATGTTATCCGTTCACAACTATCTTTAACAGATCCTTCTCATCTTATCTCATACCGAAAATGTGGAGAAACATGAAGATAATTCCTGTACCCAAGAAAGCATCTGGTGATAAGAATGTAAAATTTAGACCTATTGCAATTACATCACCCTTCCTCAAAACAATGGAAAAATTATTAATACTTTCACTTCAGCCTGCGATAAAAGAACATATTGATCCGTATCAGTTTGCCTACAGATGCAAAAGAAGCACCTTAGATGCTGTTGCTTTTCTGAATCACAACATAGTGTTAAACTTCGATGTGCTTCTCTGGACTATACTTCAGCTTTTGATTCTATACCAAGACAACATTTATTTAACAAGTTAATCAGCGTCAACACTGACAGCTGGATAACCAACTGGCTATGTTCCTACCTCTCTGGAAGGGAACAGTACACTGTATTTGGGGGAAAGTGTTCAGAGTCTCTGCTGTCTCATGAAGGTGTACCACAAGGATCTGTTCTTTCACCTCTTCTTTTCTCATTTTTTCTGCATGATCTGCCATCTTCCACAGAAAACACTTGTGAAATATGCGGATGATCTCACTGTATGTATGCCTATCTCTAGTATTCAACTCTGTAATAACTAGATATCAATGAATTATGACCTACCAGATGCTCTGGTATGGCCGAAGATGGAAAGAGTTAGCCTTCCCTCTCTAAATGCTCTCATATGGCCACGCGTATACAGGCATTGACACAGAAATCATACTCACTGCATTCTCGCACCACGGGTTTTGTTTACGAAATTCAAAGGACAAAAAGCGAATGTCCGGCGCTTTAACCGGGTTGGTAGACACGAAGAGTCCACCTAAGGGAGGTGGAAAACCCTGATTCCAAACCAATTTCGCACATTAGCTCCATGATCCTAAGGGAACAGATGGAGTACGAATCAGTCGTTGGCCATTAGCTACCATGGGACTGCATCTCCTGAAGTTGCTCCACTGACTTGTGAATCAGGCCTTTAGGCCTGCCTCAGTCGGAGTACACCAAAAACTTTGATCCAGACTATTAATATTCACTAAGATATTCATAACTTCAGTTGTTAATCGTTCTTTGAACTGAACAACTGTACACAAGCGTCTTATCAGCACTTGTGGTCTGGTGTGTGACGAAATCTCAGCATGGATTCAGAACGCTCGACTGGCTTTTGCTAACTTGCGTCATTTATGGCGTAGGCGAGATATCATTCTATCAACCAAAGGACGGGTTTACTGAGCAGCAGTTCGTCCCGTCCTACCACATAGCAGTGAAACACGGCCAGTAAGAGTAGAGGATATTCGTAGGTTACTAGTATTCGATCATAGGTGTCTTCGAAACATTGCTCGTATATCCTGAGACCACCGAGTAACTAATGCAGTTGTTAGGAAACGGGTACTAGGTGAGGATGGCAAATCAATTGATGAAGTAGTAGAACTTGATCAGTTGAGATGGTTGGGACACGTGTTACGTATTCCCAACCACCGACTACCACGACGTGTGATGTTTTATGGTGTATGAGTAGGTTGGAAGAAAGCTACAGGTGGCCAGACCAAAACATGGTACAAATCCATGAAGTCACTGACAAGTGGGCTGAGTTGAGTTGGTATGTGTAGACTAACTGGTAGGGATCCACGACACGATAGCAACCGATGGCTAGAGACGTTGAATGACATGGCTGAAAATCGTTTGCAATAGCTCAAGTGCATCCACTCTTTGTGTTCTCCCGAATTCTAATCTTCTGAATTCGACAACTGCATCTCTGTATGGCAACTTGAACTGATATGGGTTTTCCATGATGGTCTAGCTTCAACTGACTCATGATTTCAATATGTGAAATTTCTAAAATCTCCACAAACCCCTTATGATAAACGTAATATTGTAAATAATTGTATGTTATGAATTCCTAATAGAATGTTTATTCATAAACATGGTACTAACAATTTAAGTACACACAATTAGTCTAATGACATGTTACATATTTACTAAATCTATTGTAATGAAAGAGAACACAGGTAAAGACGATTGAACCATACTCGGCACGAGAATACAGAGTTACTTAATGAAATAGAAAAACCATACTTTAATACTTAATTTACATAATGTTCATTAATTGTCTCAGTCTTCATTTTCCCTGTATTGCCATACCAATTGCTTTCTGTTTCCGTTCTTTCCTCCTCAATCTTCATAAATCTTTGTTATCAGACATTCTATTCCTGACTCGCGTAATATACTACTTATGTCAATATAGGTAGCACACTTTACAATGCGACTTATCGAAACTAGTGTGATTCACTTGGTATTGTTTTACTTGAATCTTCCCATTGATGTTTACAACTGAAATTGATCAGTCTCTTATTGGCATATGTGCATACTGTGCGTATGCCTCGATATTGCATTCATTTACAAGCAGAATAAGCAAAGATAGGACGAAACGAGCGTCCTGGATTCCACTGCTAGCCACTATCCATCTTTCCTTATAATCCTAGTGTGATTGTTTTCGCAATAAGTGATCTATCATTAAAAAACCAACAACAGAATACACAGAAAACGGAATGGAGATAATCAATATAGGAAACTGTATAATCACATGACCTAAGTATTTGGAAGCTGTTTGAAATCATGAAACTACAGTATTGTAATGAGTTAAGTATATTAAGTATTATCCCTATATTAAACAGACCACTCTGTGAGATATTTTAAAGAA